GGAAAGAGTAAGTTGGTAGAAAAAGATACCCTTCAACATATAGGTTAAATCCACAGAAATTAGCAGCAGGGATGCTAATAGATCACTTAGTTCTGATCTTACCATTGTTACAAAAATCTGGAAAAATTGGAGGAAGTGCAGCAAGAATTGGTAGGACTAACTTTCAGAAGGATATGAATGAAATATGTATAGCTTGGGAAAAAATGCTGAAGTGAGCACAATGGCTTGATATAATTGTGACGGGTATAAACACCAAGAAATAAATTTAATTGGCATGGTAACAGGGTACAAAATCAGGAATTAAGAGATAAAATTAAGGCAATGTAGACAGATTATCACTGAAAAAAGCATTATGTCGAAAAGAACAATCTTGTATCACCAGAGAAGTAGAATGGGTGATCTACTAAAGGTATGTCTACATGGCTCACCCATAGCACCAGGCAGGGCCTGTTGTGAAATAGTGCACCCAGCCCATGAGTGCTAGCTCTCAAACTGGAAGCAAAGTAGCCATCAAGTAAAGCTACCACCTGAGTGCAGTGCTGTGCTTGCACCAATAAGCTCTGTTGAAAGGTGGAGAAAAAGTTTATTGATGCATGCAGCACTGTCGTAAAAAAGTTACCCTAATGCTGGTTCAGGAGGCAGCACACACAGAGTAGGCCAGCCTGTCTTAGTATTGTTGTGCCTGGCTTTTTAACTGAACAGTATAGACATATTCTAAAGTCTTTTAATTTTTTATTTCCATCAGTAGCAGTTTAGATTTGAATAGGTCCTAAGCTGTAACTCTGGCCTTGACACTGACTTGCTATTTGTTTCACATTTTCATACCTGTTTCTTATCTGCAAAATAAGGAAAACTGCATTACTATGTTTCACATACATTTTGTGGGAATTAATAAGTTGTCTGCACTGTGTTATGCACTTAAAAAGTCATGTTTAAACCCACATCCTATTAGCATATTTGGGGGAGTTCAGCGATGCACCTGACCCTTTCATAGTAAAAATTTTACCCGAAGGACCCTAGGGAAA